CTGCTTCTTTTTTTCCTATAGTGACCTAGTGGTTTTTTTTTGGGCGCTCTGTGGAGGGGTGTGGGATGGAAGCTTTGGCGCTTTGATAAAAACTGCTGTGTTTTTATTGTTGTGAATGATGAAGGAACTGCACATTTAAATATGCGGAGCCGCCCATCGCCCCCAAACATACGGACAGAATAGGAATTATACACTACCTCCAGTGCAGGAGGATTAACCCTGGGCCACCCTCCACATATTTTAATGGCGTAACCGTACGCTAAAAAACACACGTTTGGGAAAACGCCTGGGGCTCGCCAATAAACGCCCATAGCTTGTGTATAAAAGCCCGTGGAATATAACTAGAGAAACATCCGCAGAATCAAAAATAAGGCTGTGACTCCGTGACTCCAAAAGATCTTTTTTTCACGCCGCAGATCGCAAAAAAATGAAAAACACTCTGAGGAAGATCCAGGTATGTCTTAAGATATTGAGAGGGGCGTCAAACGGCATCAGGGTTTGAAAGCACACACTCAAGCAAGAAATCCACAGTTAGGAAAAGGGTGGAGGAATCATATAATACTTCTAGGAACCTTCTTAGAAACCGAATTCAGTACGGGTGGTTCGGTCACGACACGGATGAACGAACCGCTCTTCCCCAAGGTTCCAACTGCCAGGCACTTCCAAAATGCCTCCCACAATCCTAACTTCTGAGGTCACTGGGGAGCCATGGCTCTTGGAAATCATACAAACGGACATCACATGTCGAAGAATGAACTCCCTGCACGTACCTGCACCCTCAAATCGTACTCTTGATCGTACTCGCACAAGTACATGCACCCCAGCCTTCCAAGACCATCAAAAACATGGTTGACCTGGTTTCGATGGTTTTAGTCAATGGTGGTTGGAATCCTAGGGTCATGTCATGTCCCATGTTTCGAGCGTTCTGAACGAAGTCGAATCAAATCAGGACACTGTCTCTTCGGCCCGAGGGGACTAGATTCGGGCTAGATCCGGACATGAGGCGATGATCTTTGTTTTCAGTGTCTGGCAATCCTTGCAAGCGCAAAAGAAGCACCCAACATATACCAGAATGGGCTCATATTGGGTTCTCTGGACAATGACTAAGTTGACGTAGGTTGGGGAACATCTTTCTTTCCCTGCCCGAGAGTCACAAAAGCCAAACACTTACTGACGGACGAACTTGTCAAAGACCTGGGAAACATAGACCCTATGCAAATGCAAACACCCACATATACCCACATTGAAACTTAGTTTTAAACTCAGCAGGTTTGTTGAGTTTTGAGGAGTTTGCAAATGTCAACTCAAACCACCCGCTGTGGGGGTGCATGATGCATAATTAATTCAAAACAAAGACCTTCGGCGCTAAAATCGAAGCGGACCTCGATAGGAGATATGTTGACCTGCACCCAACTTCGTTCGTACCTTGGAAAATTACAAACAACATGCCATAACATGCCCCGAAAAAAAAAAAAAAAAAAGAAAAAACTGCTATACCTTGTACCTCATTTAATAAACAAAAAAAAAGAACACGCACAAAACAAACGACATCGAATTCGTTCCCCTCTCCGCACACCTGGGAATCCACCGACCGTCCGTCAGGCGCCCCCACCACTCCCATCGATGCAGCGATGACTGGCGGCCCCGACGGCGTTTGGGCTCCGGAGGGAGTTGAAGGTCCAAAATCCCCCGCTGTAAGGTCTAAAGGCTTGGGCTGCGGATGGGCCTTTTTGGAACATACACTATAAATAAATTGGGTCTACAGTATCCTATTACCGGTAACAGTGGATGATCTTGTAAAATATTGTTTACTGACTGTTACAGGAAATCGAACAGAACAAACCCAATATATATATATATACATCAAGGTCTAAAGGATTCAAAAGGAACAAAAGAAAAACACATACAAAAAACATTCCGAAATATGAATTATGAATCAAAGGGATTCCAAACCAGAACCAAAGCTGACTCCATTCCCAGATTCCAAAAAGCTTCATTGCGGATACATATACCGAAAATGAATGTAAAACTCTGGGATTTATGATTTCGGAAGCCAGAAAAAAAAAACACTAACAAACAAACACTAAAACATACTAAAACTAAGATGTCCACAAGAAGGGGATTTATATACCCAGTTCGGGAAAAAAAACGGATCCGCAAACCCAGGTTGCACCTGGCAGGTTTGCCCCTGGCACCACATGTGGTGGTTCCACTCATGTAAGATCAGTGGACTTTTTTTCTGAATGGAACACACAGGGAGATATTTTTGTCTGCCTGAGAACGAAACACGCGCCTACCTGGTAGATGGACCAAACTTTGCCAAACCGGAAAAGGTTGCGGCTTGTTGAGTTCCCTTAGGTATCCAGGGCATGCACACCAAGGATGTAAGGACGATGGGACCTTGAATTTGTTTGGTACTTGTCAAACAAAGAATGTTCTGCAGTCGTGTTGACACAAAAAACATAACACGTCACTATCAGGCAACTATCTACCTATCCCTAGGGATCCACATACCTTCTCAGAAGGTACTTGGGCCCTCCAAGCCTACATAAATAGTCTCCAATCACCTTCTGAGAAGGTACTTGGATCCCTAGGGTATACAAACATACAAACAGTCATGTTCCGATAAACGGTTTTCTCACAATTTTCTACCTATACATCAAGTGACAAAATCATACGAAATCCACCGACATCAAGCGGGAATCAGCCGGTGCTTTCAGTGGTGAAGGACCATCGTCTACCTGCGGTGTCGCAAAGGAACCCGTCGCCGACAAGCCATGCACCTGCCTGATCACGAGTCCAGGCACCGCGAGTCGTCGAGGCGACTGTCGTGGGGGTTCCGCTGTTGGCTGTTGACTTGTTGATGATTTCACAGCTCACTTCAGGGAGGCCGACTTGAAAAACAGTCCACACAACCAAAAGAACACCTCTCCACCTGGAACTCAGTTCGGCAATATCTTGATCAGTGAAAAACCAAGTGGGGGGAATACACCAGCCTCATAGACCGACAACCCACGGGAAACCGTGGGGTCGATTCACTGGAAAGGGGAAACAGTTGGGTGAACTTTGAGAGAAAATGTCAGCTCCCTTCACGTTTTTTGCGGGGTCAGCTTGACAGTGCCACTTGCTGAGTCCAGTGCTTTGCTTCTATTTGATCAGATTGAGCTCAACTAACTACCATCAACTTGGTGGATCTTTGGTGTCCAATACTACATGCATTTCAAAGCTCCACTGGGAGTCAGGATTCATTCACTACCAGGCCGGCGAAGCGATGTCTATTCATGGCCCCCTACAGGTTCAGGGGTGTCCACTAAGACCTTATGTTAGTTTCATGTTATTTTGACAAGAGATATTCTTTGGCTGAGTCAGCTGGCGTCTTTGTTCAACTGAACCTTAAGCAAGCTTGAGCCGAGTCAGCTGAAGCAAAGCCAAGCACGCCCGAACCAAGAACAACTCACTTAATGGGTCTGATGGAAACGTCAACATATACCATTTAACAATAGTACAAAAAACTTGACATATCTTGAAATTGAAATTTTGGCGTCTCTATACCCAAACTTGTGTTCATATACCTGTTGAGAAAACTGCAGGCAGTAACTGGCGCGCTTGCCTGGAAGTTCATCCACTTGGGATTTCACCGATGGAGCCACCGAACTGTGCCAAATGCACAGTCCGAACGCTGAACAACTCATTCTCTTTACAGATGCTGTCTCCACGGCCCCACTTGAAATGAAGACCTGCCACTCATCAGACTCATCAGCCAGAGGTGTCGGTGTGTGTCTATGGTATGCTGGTCCCCTCAGCTTCGGTCTAGTCTTGCCCATCCGGAATCCCCTCAGCGAAACCATGAAAGGAGATTGGTCTTGAGGCGAAGGACGGGGTGCCCAAGGCGGATCATATCGGAGCATATCTGAGCAAAGCTGTGTCTGCTGCAGAAAGGTAGCCAGTTACCACTAGTTTTTGGTAACAAGAGGTTCCAAAAGGCTTAAGCCATAGACTCAGAAAATGCGGTTCCTTGTATAGTGTCAATTCGGATCCGATGGGAGATGGTTCCAGTAGCCATGTGACACCTGCGTCGAAGCCCAGCGGTCCTTTTCGAGCAAGTCATTAAAAGTCTTTTACCGGAAGCAATATTTAGAGTTCCACATATTTCCATGGGTGTGCCTCAAAAGAATGTCGTATAAAGTATATGCCATATATGTGTACAAGGTGTGTACACTCCCTTTAACAATCATAGAAGTGGATGGCATGGCCCCTTGGGTGACCATTTCAAAGATGTCGATGCTTCAATTCATATCAACCATGACTGCTTTTCAGCATCCGAATGAAACTCCCGAATGTCGCACAAGTTTGGCAACCGGTTCGTTAAGTTCTTCGTCTCTACGCTGCTTAAACATCTAGATCTTTCCGATTTGTTTGGGCATTCCAAGTTGCTAGCCGCTGCTAGCCTTTAATACCTCAATTTTTCAGCATGCTCAGCATGCTTGCTGTGCATGATAGAAAGGCTGGTCAGAAGGCAAACATAAGTTAGGCCGCTTTTGAGGCAACCCTCCGCCTCAGAAGAGTTCAAAGTGCCTCTGTTCAGGCCTCTGAGGTTGGAGCTGTGAGGAAGTCATGGACCAACGTTCTGGCGCTGATCCGGGGTTTGGCTTCGGGTCAGTCGGCCAGCCGACTGTAATCTTAGGACGTACCAAGAGAGGTGGAACAGCCCTATAGCCCATCCCATATGTACCACTACAGGGTCCTATATGGCCTCTCAACCTGTCTTGGTACTTAAACAAAACTTTCATGGAGATTGAAGTCCACCCCATTCCTTGACACTGTGCCTCATTCCGGCAAGCTCCCTACGGAAAGCAAGGAACGATGTCCATGTCGAACGAAGACCCGTCGGCCCGCCCTGACCCGTCGCCCGTTCACAAGACTCAGGAAATGCAGGACATCTGATGTGACACCAAGTGATGTGGAGGACGTTTCCTCAATTTGGAAAGGACGTTGGTGTATGAAACAACTCAGACTCTCCTGCTTCTCCTTCTCCTTCTCGACTCTGCACTCCCAGGAGTGAATCTTGAAACACTGTCTGCACCCTGAGTGCACATCATGTGCGAGGATCACCATCCTTCCGTCATGTGCCATCCACTCAGGGCATCTCGCCACAGCCAACAGCAGCCAACAGCTAGGCCTTTCCTAGGCCCAGTCGCTTCGATGAGGTACTCTCCCCAGTTTGGGGGTTTATAGGCCCCTTTAGAGGCCCCTTTAGACCCCTTTCATCCCTTTTGCCAACTCTTGGATTTGAGTGGGAAAACCGCGTCCGATCCACAAACTTCCCATATTATAGTATAGGGGAAGTCTGCAAGCATCGGGGATCGGAATTGATCGGGACGAGCCGGGAAAAAAAAGTATACCTGGCGAAGCCCCCAAAGACCCAGACCATCCATGGGACTCGAATAGTTATAAGTTATACCTACATGGATGGGTCCTTTTTTATGGAGTAAATTGAGTACGCTAGCCTTCAAAGACTAAATGAATGGTTGACCTGATGGTGTGGTGACGGTGTTTTCACATCCTCAGTAAAACAATGATTCTTTGGTAAAGACTATAAAAACATATTAAATCATATTAAAACAATGGTTGTTCGAATGCTCGGAAGTAAATGTATGCAGCATCACACGATCGGCGCGATCTTCCGATCCCCAAAGCATCCGGTCGACGGGACCGAGGCGAAAACGGTCTGCCGAACGGTGGAGCCAAACAACTGTCCTTCATGGTCCTTCTTTCCTTGTTTAAAGCCCTCTGCAAGTAGCTGCACAGTTGCAAAGTTCAATGTGGCTATCCAAATCTACAAAAGGAAAAGGATCCAAAAATACAACAGTCCATGCGCCAGTCTGTGGCACCTTTCAGTCGCGAAACGCCTTTCACGACCCCACACCACCCCGAAACATGGGCCTTATGGTGATTTTATGGTGTAAAATTACAACTGTGGGGATTGAGTGGTTTTCGTTATGTTTTGCTTGTTTCATGCATGAGATTTTGATTGATACGGATCGACTATGGTAGCATTCCAGTCGACTTCACCGCCGTTTTGACGACCTGTGAGCTGTACATTGGAAGGGATCCGAGCCTCGAGCGCTCGTTTCCAACACAACGACATGGGGGTTCGGTGTTCGGTGCGCGGGGCACATGTTCGCGTTCGTGTAGGGAGTGCTTGTTGGTGATTGAAAAGAATTCTTGAGTTGGTGAGCTTTTGTGAGGATCCACTGGGCCAAAAAAGAGGGCTCAAACCTTAAGCCTTCGGTTCGTTGGGCCGGAATCCCCTGATTCAAACCGAGGACCTGGCAGCGTCCCATTCATCGGAACAAGCAAAGACTCGGAAGCGGTTCTGACTCGGCAAAACTCCCAAGATGGCGAAAGTCCTGCTGAAAACCACCGACACCCGGTTTTCTTTGAGAGGAAGCACCTTAGTTCTGAAATTCCAAGCACCCTAGTTCTGAGATTTGGCATCTGACCTGGTGGCATCACCTACCCATGTTATCTTACTGCGTGTCGACCTGGTCATATGGAAACCAAGGCACCACTGAAGGCCACCAAATCGTCAAAGAACTCTCGTTTCCTCAAGAGTCACACTCTTGGCATGTCAGAGATATAGAAAGCCTGGTTGGTGGTTCATCTCACTTGAACAATATCAGTCAGCGGTTTCAATCCATCCCAAGTAAAGGTTGAAAGATGTTGAAAGTAAACATATCTGACACCACCACCCCCCGGAAACATACTTGTGCATCGCGGGTCTTTTGCACAAAAAGCACAACTTAATAAACCAGCCTGAACAAAACTTTGGAGTTGTCAGCACCTCTTACAAAAAATAGACAAACCTTGCAGAGACCATGCCTGAATGGAATGGAAGAACCACCATTTCTCATGACTCCACGAGGCGAGTCTACTCAAGACGGGGAGGTACGGCCTACTCCAGAGGTACGGCAATTCGCCGCGGGCCACGCGCCACACAAAGAGGTTTGGATCGAAAGAACATGAACGAACTGCGACAAAGGAGTTCATCTGTTCGCTGCTTTCTCAGCCAACTTCGAGCATCGTTCAAGCACAAGATTCACATAGAAATGAGGATGAGGACACATGACATATTTTGTGTGAAGATGAAGAACAATCTGTCCAACCCCCAGATCTACATCCCCATCTTCGCCACCCGAGACATCCTCAACCGCTCAACGCACGTGGATCCATGTGGTCGTGCGAGGAATCAGCGGTCACCATCGCTCACCCAAAACAATACAAAAGCAAAGGGCCTTCACATGACTTTTTCACCCAGGACCTTCCAGTCGAGGTGTCTATACACAGCCTCTTAGAGGTTAAGGTCCAGAAACTACCTCTTGGAAGGTGCTGGTGCATCCTGTGTTCACCAATAAACAGCAAATCCCACGACTCACACCCCAATGATACAGACCGTCCTGCTCTTCGCGCCCTCGACATGAGTGCCGTGTTCTACATCAGACGGTACTATACAGATTGATGTCGTTGAACACTGTGTTGACAATCGCGTTTGGTGCAGGCAGAGCTCCTACCGTACTATATAGGTCCATTTCAAAGCAACCATTTCACGGATCCCCCCTCCATGGCGATCACTGCTCCAAGCTTCTTGAACTTGGAGTCTTCCAGCACGGCCGTTGTTGCGTCTGAGGAGAAGTCAGAGGTGAACCTGGAGTCTCTCTTTCGCTTGTGCACCACCGAAGGCCATGGAGTAGTCTTGCTACCACTCCAGGGGACTCTGGGGACTGTGCAAGATTGAGACCCACAAGTGGCGGTGCTTCTTTTCAAGGCGTGAACATTGTGCATGAGTAGTAGTGAGTGTGTGAAACCGTTTTTCGAACAAGAGATGGATATTGAAATCCCATGACCACTCACTGACTATTCGTCACTTTCACTACTTTTGAGCCTAAATCATATGGTATGATGTTCTAACCAGGACACCCGTTTCGGGGTGTCTATTGATAGCCCCTTAGAGGTGATTCGGGGTGTCCATTAACCACCCCGACTGTGGGTCCTAGAATATGTTTTATACCGGAGCTGCTCCAAGTGCTTCCTTGATCCGGTGCTTGGGCACCTCAACCGCGAAAACGGCTCCGGGTGCTGGCCCACCGGTGCATGGTACGAGTAGTTCCCACCCAAGTCCCTGGTTGGTGTGAAGATGATGTATACTGGATGATGGTGGTTAGTAAAGGCCTTGTTCCAAAATAGTACACCCGCGAAAAGTAACATGGAACCTGAACGTGGACCAGACTGGAAGACTATTTTCCTCTACAACCCAGTGGTTTTCAGGTTCCATGTTAAATTTCCAGTGTGTAATACTTGTTTACTGACTGTTACAGGTAATTAATATAGGACAGACCCAATGTATACTCCTTAAGAGCCCTACATGGAGTGTTGATGACTGAAGAAATGCTTGACTCCGTCTCAGAGCTGCTTGACTCCGCTTGACTTCAGCGAGCTGTGAAGGGGTCAACTGGCCCAGGAGTCACACAGCTCGTCACACGGTTTATAGACCCGGGAAGAGACCCACATGGAACCTGAAAACCAGGTTGTAGAGGAAAATCGTCTCCCAAAGGTTAATTAATCTATCAGGTTCCATGTTCTTCCATGTTCGTTTTCTGGAGTGCGTCCTCCCGCTTCACGGTCACGGCCATGCGGTTCGAACGCCGGTCGAGACCTTCGCCCGTCGCGCCGGTCGACGGCGTCTCGACGGTTGGGGCGCGTGCGTGTTGCTGGAGCGATGCTGGGATATCCGACTTCTTGGAACATGAAGGAACCAGGTGTTTTCCCATTGCCCGACCCTGGACCCGAACCAACTGCTACCCCTATAGTTAGTGAAGGGTCCATTTCACCCCAAACGCGAGTTGTGAGGGTCGAGTCGTGTCGCTTTTTCGACCGGTGGCGCACTGGAGAGTCCAAACGAAAGCTTCCAAACAGGCATGACCGCAAATGACTACCGCCGTTTCCGCCGTTTTTTGGATGGAGACTGACTCAGTTCCATCGTTTCCCTGGAATTTGCAGGTGAACCTCAGTTCCATTCGGTTCATTTTCCAGTGGGGTGAAAAGGTGAGAACCCAATTCCCCACATTCAGGCGGCAGGTGATCCGCGGATCCTTGCTGAAAAAGGGATCATGAAAGATCCACGGAACTCTCAAGGCTGTGCACCCTCTGGACAGAGTCTTCTGGGGATGTCAAAGGTCTGAAAAGCTCTCTTCCAAGACTGGTTGGTGTTTTCAACCCACTTGAAACATATTAAATTAGAGGGTCCAATCATCCCCAAGTCATTTAAACATGTCCGAAACCACCACCTACAAGATCTTCAAATCAACACCCCACATGGCTCTGGGTCATGGCGGCGCACGACCCACCGACCCGGCACGACCCACCGACCAGGCGCGACCGTTACATGGCGGACGAGGTCCCGTCGAGTGTAGGGAACGACCCATCCCCACCAGACTCGTGCGACGAAAGTAGGGCATGAGGGAATGTTCATCAGCCGGCCCTCTATACCTCAGGATCCAGCCACCCTTATTGTTTTCGTCGCACCAGGAAAAGCCACGTGCACATGTATACCTTCAGTTGGGCCAAATGCTGGACCCTCCAACATCTCCGACCAACGCATCATGGATAGGTCGCTCGTTTCCACCTCGTCGCAAACACGGATGGGTTCACCAAGTGACTCCACGTAGACCGAGGGCCGCTCCCCATGGGTGATGGCGCTCAGGGTGATCTGGTCCTCGCTACGACGTAGTCGCAAGAAAGTGAGGGGGCCAGAAGCTACCCATAGGGTTGTCCAGGTACCTCCTTTAAGAAGAAAGGTCAGTCTGTACTTCCATCGAACTGGAGCGAGAAATGGAATGGTCCTGGACCCTTAGGGCTACTGTTCTTGATGGATCCGCTGCCCTCTGAGAAGGTGCCGTCTGAGACTAGGGACCGGATAGAGCTACCTGAAGTAGCTTGGAATCAAAGATCATGTCAGACCTCCGTAAATTCTGATGACTCCGACGCCCTAGGGCTCCGGTCGTACCTTCTAAGAAGCTCTTTGAGGTGGAAGCCAGGAAGGTTCAGTCATGCCTCCTAGGGGATGACGATGAATGACCATACTAAATATCCCAGACACTCCATGTATGCCATATATGCCTACATTGACCCCTGAAACCACCCCAATGTAGGCAAATATGGCATACATGGAGTGTCTGGGTATATCCAAATTGGTTGGATCTTGGAGTTTCTGATCGGGTGACGAATTTCCAGCGCCCACCGAATTCGAACGCCGACCGTTCGTCGACATCCATCCATTTCAATCCATCGAAGACATCGGACGGGGGCGGTGAGGATGTTCCACTCGCGGACGAGCTTCCGGAAGACATGAAGCCCAATAGCCCAAACCATCCACGTCACTATCCCCAAAACGACAAAACGGGACTCGCGTTGTCGTTGCCTACATGGCATGGTATCATGGATGGGCCTATAGGGCCATAGGGTGCATAGGGTATAACTGTTTCATACCATGGATTCGTCTGGGCATTCGTCACTATTACTACAAAGTGTTCTCCTAGGGTTTCAGGTACCTCCGCTTCGAAGTCGGTTTGTGGGATCCCAGTACCTTCTGGACCTTCTGAGAGATATATTGTGAATATTCATAATATTCCTTGCAGGTCAGTTTGATCTGACTTCTTCACTGGATTGGACCCTACAAAAACGCTCAAAGACCAGGACCTGGGTGTTTAAATCTGGACTCAGGACCAGGACTTTGTGACTAGACCTGGATCTCTGCCGGGGTGTCTTCCGGCCGGGGCCTCCCATCCACCTCTGCATCCAGGCATCGTTCCGCGCCGAGTAGCCCACCGGTGGGTCCGAGGCCACCATTTCCTCGGGACGAACGTCGGGGTCTGAGGAGACGACCGAACCGAGGACGTCGTCCCGGACGTGAAGGAACACCGAACCTAAGGTGGGATCGTCTGCGACCAAAAAGGTTTGTTCGCTGCAGCATGTGTTTGTTTGTTTTTTGTTTTTTTTTCCCATGCGTGTTTTGAATTGTTCGAACCACAAAGCAAGTTAGAGCAGTGCTTTCGAATGTGTTGGGGGGCAGCGAGAAAGCACACGGGGCACGCACCGCATCCTGAATGAATCGAACGAATCCCACCGACGGCATCCCTGACGAGGTGTGCCCACCGTCCCACCTGAGTGGGGGGTGACAGAATCCCAGGTTGGGCTTCAAGGTGCTTCAAGTGTTCAAAATGCTTCAAGATGCTTCATGCACACAAGTTCGTTGGTGTCCGGGAAATCGTATACGTTGGTTTCTCAGGTTCTTATCTTGCGCAGGTTCAACATCTCTTAGTGTTTTGGAAAGCCTACACAGTAGTTCCAAGTAGTTTTGACAAGATGCACCCGCAGGCTTTGTTGCTGGGTATCCTTAAATGCACCACATAAACACATGAAGGTGTCAGTGTCATGGTTCCAAGCATTTCAACACCATAACAGGGGAAACCCTTGAGGATTTACTGTATTTCAATGCAATTACAGAGCCACGCGGCCACAAGGCCATGGACCACGTGCTGGCTTTGATGTTCTGAATTCACCTGCAAGAAAGTTACGAGCCTTCTCCTTGGATTGGAGCGTCAGTCCATCCTCTTCCGAAATAGTGGTAAACATAGATTGGCCGTCCGTGGGCTGTCCGTTCGGCTTCACAGCTTCCAAGATCCTCTCTGGAGCTCCCATACTCCCGGAAAGGTGGTACCCCGCTTGCTCCGTACCGCCGCTTTGAACCCCAGAATTTGGAGGGTCGTCTGTCAAGAAAACCAGCTTTCACATGCTTGAACATGTTGTGATGCCCAACTAGAGTTGTAAATCTTGGCAAATGGCTGTCGGTCAAAACCTGGGCACCTTGGCTGACCCCATGAAAATGAACAGATTCCTCTAAGCGGGGTGTCAACCTACCATGGTTTGGTGAGGCCTCGCTGAAAAACCTCTTGGTCCTTCACCAAGGTTCCATTCCAATGCTGCGCTTCCTTGGCGAAAGATGGCATGGCTGACCACCATGCTGAACATAGCTTTTCGGAGGAACCCGCCCAGCCCGGTTTAATGTAGACTCAAACCTCTTCATATGATTTGCATCCTCCAACAGGTCACCCACCACCTGCCACACTTAAGTCTCCATTTCAGCGCATTCAACTTTTGTGTCGAGTCGCCCATGCCAAGACCAAAAAGGAGCCAAGAACAAAAGAGGTATACCGCTGGAACCGTCCGTTTTTGGGAATGCCTATGCCGCATATGCCAATGTCCTCGATAACTGGAGATGTTGAAGGTCACCTACCATATAATCCAAGGTCCCCAAAAAATCCAAAAAGGAGTAGGGTGGATCGGCCCCAAAAGCAACGAGAGCCTGGCATGTCGAGAGGAGATCGACTCAACCCCTCCATGGGTTCGGGCTCGGACCCTGATGGAACGACCTGATGGCGACGACGCTCCGCCCCGCCCCGCCCCGACGCCCGGGAAAGGAATTGCCAGCGGACTGAAAGCGATCTCATGATTTAAACAATGGACATGTCCAAGCACGGTTGGTAATTGGATGTGGCTTTAACATGTACCTTTAGAAGGTCCAACATGTGTTATGAGCCGTATGAAGAACCAGCAAGAGCAGTGCACAATGCGTGGTCACCTTGTCAAACTTGCTACACCATCCTCGAACATCCCCATTTGCCTGTGTATCTCTACCAACTCTAGGGCTCCACAGAACCCTTCGTTCCGACTCTTGGGTTCGGTCAGACCTACCCCTTGGGACCCTTGGGCCCCCTGGATCGGCATACGGGACCCATGTGGGATCCAGATCGGCGAAGACCCCCAAAGGCAAAAAACCATGGAGAGCCCAACCATGGGAGGGTTTGGCTGGGTCTCCAACAACCATGGTCGGACCATCCCATGGTTTGGTATCTCTTAAGATATTCAGTATTCAAAACATCGTCTTGATCTCATGGGCCATGCCATCCACATACCCATGAGGTTGGAGATCCAGTCTTCAGTTTCAGTACAACGCCCCAATCCCAATCCCATGGGAGAAAAGCGGTATGCCGCTATGCCCCATATAACCCATGGTTGGAGGTTTGGCGGAACAGCGTCCACAGACCCACATATGAACTCCCTGCAGTTCCCAGAATCAGTGGCAAGCCTCGGTCGAGCCACGTCGACGTGGCGCATGACAGGAGAAAGGGGAGACATGGGGGGCAGTCATATATGAAGTCAAATGGCACAAAAGGACATGGACGTGATGGGTATCAAGCCTTTTTGAGGATCTGGTTTTTATGTATTAAAACAAGGAGATCGCCAGATTCTCAACTTCGGTGGAGTCCTGGACAACTGAACACCTAGGGCCAGGGGCGTGCTACTACATCCATGCGCGCACGCCCTCGGCATGTTCGACAGAGGGGTGGTTCAAGGGATCGGACAGACACGTACCGGTGAGCTGTTTGGCGTTCTCCCGGTGTGGGCGTGGGTGCGGCCACCGAGGCCGAGGATGGAGGCACATGAAGTAGGCTTAAGGAGGGTCCAGTCGGAACCTGTGAGGGTGGCCCGTGGATCAAGAGAGCACGTAGTGCATTCACTATAGTTTGTTTGTTTCTTTTTTGTTTAATAAGGACTTTTAAAGGGGTGGGGTGTTTAAGCCAATCGGAGTTTTGAAAAGCCCATCCAATTCTTGGAAAAATATGGGTTCCATTGGGTTCCCGTAAAGCTTCATGACATAAAGGATCACCTGTTGTTCACCCAGTTTTTTGGGAACAATCACACGCACCATTCATATATGCCGATCGGCAAAACCAACAATGTTCCACCTTCTCGAAGGCTTGTAGGAGAAACGGTGGTAATTTAGGTCAATTTGAGGTCCCATGCAACATGCATGTATATCAATACATGCAAAACTCTGCAATTTAGCCGACAAGTGGAGAAACCATCGCATGTGTCAAGAACTCTCTTGCTTCTTCCAATCCACCAATGTCATGAAACAACAGATTTGTATCCCAAACCTGCTCAAGAACAAGAATATGCCATTGCAGGCCATCGCCATCGCTCTCTTTCACTTGGCGAAAGACCCTTGGAATTGAACATAGACATGCAGGCTCATTGCCCTTCGAACAATGATCACTTTCCCTATACATTATTGTAATTATCATATAGACCACCAAATAGATAGAAAAGTAGATCCCCACAAAAAAATGCATTGGAAACCGTGCCATCATCTGTTTGGGGATCACTCTAAGTTGTCTCAACTCTTATATAAAATGCCCCCAGGCCGTCCACCATCTCCGAAACCACCTCCCGGACGGCCGTCTAATCGAAACCGCGGGACGCTCGGAGATCTCAGTAATGCGGAGGGTCTGCACCGTGTTGTCGCTGTAGGCGACGGTGAACTGCCCCAAGGCCCCCGCGTCGCCACCTATTTCACCACCGAGGACGGAAGAGGTCGGTTCGGTTGGGAGGAGGAGTGCAGTACGTCAGGCTGCCGGAGTTGGTTTTTTGGTGCATTTCTGGTGGGCCACAGTGTGACACCGTGTTTTGCCGAGGTCCGGGTCTAGAGACAGGGCATGTTGTTGTCACATGAAGCCGATCTGTTCATGCAGAACTCTTGGACATTTCTCTTCACTGCAAAAGAGATCTCTATCGTCTCTATATAGAGATCTATACAGTCTGTTTGAGTGGCAAACGAGGGTGCCACGTGAGGTTTCTGAAGTGCATTTCACAGCACCATGTGTTCAACCATGACATTGAAATTCAACATCCAACGCATTTATTGTATTCCAAAGCTATGTGAACCTCCGGGTTCTTAGGCGAACGCCTCACGCCTCCGCTGGCTCACGCTCTCCGGTGAAACAACAAAAACACACCGGGGGGGGGTCCAGAACGTGTTTTAAAACGGCAGCTCCCACACCATGATGGATCGGGATCTTGGGATATCTTGGATATATCTTCGGTACATCCTATTAAGGCCCAATAGATGATGATGGTTTGGTTGCAGGCCTTTCTCAAAAATAGTGATCATCTTTTAAGAACTGTTGCTGATAATCGGACACACCTTATAGGTATATTTATCCATGTACATCCAATGTCCAGTAGCAGTGAATGATGATGCTTAGTAAAGACTCTTGATTGCAAAATAGTGCTTTACCGACTCTTGCTGGTCGTGGGATACACCTTATAGGTATATCCCATGTCCAGTAACAGTGGATCATGATGCTTCGTAAAGACTCTTGATTGCAAAATAGTGACCCTCCTTTACCGACTCTTGCTCGTCATGGCATACACCTTTATAGGTATATCCCATGTCCAGTAACAGTGGATGATGATGCTTCGTAAAGACTCTTGATTGCAAAATAGTGACCCTCCTTTACCGACTCTTGCTCGCCATGGCATACAATGATATGATTGCTTTCCACAAAAAATCAGGAAGGCCCCATTGAGATGCGTTGAGTCGGTCAACGCTGGTCCGCTGGATGGAAGTCCAGCACACCTGAGCAAAGACCTGGCCGTTTCAGCCAGGTGAACGACCTCGCCTTCTTCACGTTTGGCCTCTGCGACTTGCTTGGAGAACTTGAACTGCATCGACTTGACTAAGTCCCACCTCAGCTGCGGCGGGAGACCTGTTGCCTTTTTTATGGCAAAGGGCCGCAGTGAAGGCGAGGCGGCGCGAAGGAAGAGCATTCTTCTTGGAAGACCCATGTCCGCAGGCGGGGTGTAGGTCTTCTGATCCTTTCCAGAAAAGAAGTTCTTGCCCAAACGAAACACCACCGAACAATGGCGCCTCCTTCCAATAAGGATATCTCTTGCACCGGCCTCATCCGGCCTCTTCGCATGAGCTGCAGCAGGGACCGGTCTTTGTACCGGTCTCGTCCCTTGAAACGGAGCGTCGACACCTTCCGTGTCGCTCCGGGTCCGTTGAGAGGGCGTCGGTGCGTGTGAGACCGCCGGTCTCCACCAGCGTTGACCGAACCGATTTCTTGAGAAGAAGGAGCTGCACTGGTGAGGGATCATTCCAGCCCACATGTCACGTAGGCTAGAGAGATACATTTATATCCCTAGGGATCCACATACCGAACCTCGGAAGGTACGACTGGGCCCTCCAAGCCTACATAAATAGTCTCCAATCACCGTACCTGAGAAGGTACTTGGATCCCTAGGGTATATATATATATATATACTGATCACTTAAATGTAAATATTTACAATTCCCGAAAACTAACATTTCCTCTACAAACCAGTGGTTTTGAGTCTGATGGTCCTTAATTATTGGTTTTCCCTGCGGGGTACAGACGTATAAATGCGGCATCACTTGATCTTGGAGTGGTGGATAGAGTTCTGTAAATCTCACATTGCATCGTCACAAGTTTCCCCAAGCCATCCACTGCTTCGGCGACTTGACTAACCCCGACCCAACTTCGCACAGTCGCAAAGGCATCACACGACAATCAGTGATCAAATGACATCCTGACTATTGATTGATTCCTGGGATGTTCTCATGTGTTCAGATATTTAAGCAACTTATATTATATATATAGATTAAGCAATGTGAAAGCCCATTTATTAAGCATTTACAATGAGAACCTGGTTGACACATGTGCACTTCCCGCGTTCTATCGGATGCGGCCAAGGCGCACGTATTGCAAGTCGCCTGGTCGCAGAAACGCGACGCGCTCGCGCTCGAGACGTCTGGTCCGGTGGGCCAAAGAAACAGCGACGTGATGGGGTCATGGCACCGGCTGACCTTGGTTGACCACAAAACATCAACGCGGAGAGGTCAACCTAGCGGGGTGAGTTCAGGGCTCCGGGTGCCATCCATGATTTATGGCCGAGAAGCACGACCCTACGAGCCTCCTGGCTCTTCAGCCCGAAGGACTACAAGCCGCCTTGGTACTTCTGTGCATTTCAGAGTAACTGTTTTTAGCTTGATACTTACACGTGTGGAACTGAGGTGGAACCGCGAATGGCTATGCCGCATATCTTCTTTGAATCAAGTCTCAATTCTGTGACACACGACTTGTCAACTGGGCTTTATATATTTTTTTTTAAATAAACTGCTCAATGGAACATCGAAACTCACCAATTCTGGCCATGTTGCAAAACCGGATGTCTAATTCATTCGACTTTCGCTTTCGTGAACCCTCCGTGGTCTCCCCACCCGAGAAGCGCACGGTGACCGGTCGGTGACCGTTGTTTGAAACGTGGACCGCTCGGTGACCTGCTCGGGAGGTCGATTCGTCCGAACAGCTAAGTTCAACAGAACCCTCGTTTTTTGGTTGTGTTCATTGAGATCCCCTTTGTTGTTGGTGTGTTCACTTCGTTTTTGTTGTTGAGATCCCCTAATGAATGAAGTGACTCAATGAACACACCACCTAAAGTACTTCAGGCGTCTACCTGTCGACAGGCCCCCTGTAACGAGTACTCGATGATACCCGTGTGGCTTAGCTTTCCCGAGCGCCGTCGTTTTCGCTTTCTCTGTGCCTGGCACCACCGCCGACTCCGCCACGTGTCCGGGGTGCACGGCTTCCATCGTCCGCGGTGCACGTTGCAAGCAGAATTTTGGACTCGTGGGAGGGCTGTGACAGCGAAAGGCTTCGGGACGAAAGGCTGTGACAGCGCAGGGTGTTTGAGCGTGCGGGTGTTTGAGTGCAAACCACGTTGACCTGTGCCTGCAGACTTGGAAGACTCGTGTCTTCTGGTGGACCTTGGGATGCAATTACTTGGGGACATCAATGCTTTGAGATGCTTTGAGACACCAACTCAGAGAAGAGCCCCTTGCACTCTCATCAAGAGAATCCAGAAGTCTGTTCGTTGAAAGAATGAACAAGAGCTGTTGGAACTAGCCAGCCCCGAACACTCCATGGGCCTGGTATATTTACATTAACTTTACATGCATTATACCATAGTAATATTATCCTATATTCACTTATGGCTGCTTCTGTTTTGCCCCCTATTTTAGCCATCTGATGCCATATTTGATGCCAGGAGATGGGTCAACCAAGTACCTAAATAAACCGCCGCCCAGACTGAGTCTACAGAGGTCCTCCGGTCCCAGGCGTGCCAGGTATGACAGGTATGAGGCGTGCCAGCGCTTAGGCACGACACATTCTCATCCCGGATGGGTTTCAAGTACTGTTGCAGGGTCAAAGTATCCCTGTTGGTGCTAATATCTGCTCTTCACAAGCACGGATTGCCGCGTGACCCTCGAAGCTGCAAGGGAACACAATGGACCTCAAAGACCTCTACTGCCCCAAAGCCATGACAAGCAAACAAACACATTACTAAATGTTGACTCAACACGCGTGACTACACCCTAAACTTGTAGACCCATACCGAGACGCATTGACCCCTGAAACCACATTCACCCTGAAACCACCCCAATGTATATGGAGTGTCTGGGATATGGACCTTCTGGACTTCACCCGTCCGGAACTTCTAGGATTTGCTGATTCCGGATTCACCTGTTCCAGCCCATCGAACGCACATCCCTCTCTCCAACGGTCCTCATGGGTACGTGGATGGCATAGAGCGCTCCGAAGGGCCGGTCGATGGCATCCGTCCCATGCGACGGAGGGAGGGATGTGCCCAATCCGCCGCCACCGAAAGCCAAACCCGAAAAGATGAGGGGCTCTACTGATTGTACTTCGCCTTCCTAGTGCTTTCCGCAGGCATTCGCCCATCTTGATGGATCCCGGTGTGTGGAGACTCCCTGGCCCTGGGTAGACTGGTCTGTTGTCCTTCTTCCAGGATATCTTTTTTTGGAGGTCTCTATAATTCACACACACCGACATGGCTCTCATCCGAATTGCCTATATAAATGGGGCGGGAAATGGAGCCAGCCATCTCCCATCGGTGGGTGCCAAAGTGAGCGCTCCTTCTGAACATGTCTTATACGGGTTCTTCTGCATGTTGCACCCCCGACCTGTTCGTACGGAAGATGGGGCCCCAATGTACCTTGTTGGGTCGGCTCTCACTTTATTAGAGGTACTTTAGGGGGTCCAAACTGAGAATGCCCTGTTGAGATCGAGAAGCCGAAGCGGCGCGGAGTCTCGCACGGAGCATGGCCTTTTGGTCGGTCCCGTTAGCCGTGAACTCCATCGTCTGAACGATGGTGAAGCCGTCTCGACGTCTCGCCACCGGTGAAACCGGTGGAGGACGGGCGTGTTGGACTGGTGAAGGCGTGTGTTTGACACGGGACTCGGCCAGCTGAGGCAGGGCGAATCATTCCGTCGAACACAGAAAGCTTCGTCATGATGAAATAGGATGACCCAAGCTGTGATCTATGAACATCCAACAATGATCTATGACTCTACATCTATCCCTGAGGATCGAAAGTTAGCTCTATATGCTAACATTTGGGGTTGTGTCTTCTGGGGCTCTCCGACCTCACCCTGTGAGGTCCGACCTCAAAAAACGAGATCATACCAGAACCCAAAAACCACAAAACCACAGAACCCAAAAACCACAAAACCAACGATCCCAAATTCAAATTCGTCACGGGTTGTCACGCTGGAGTCCGACAATGACCTCATTTTTAAAGGGACAAAATAGACCAATCACGGTCTGTCACGGTCTGTCACGCCCTGGTATGCTTGGTTCTTGGGATTTCATGGTCTTATCCTCCAACAATGATACTGGAATTGTATATACATTTCAGGTACCCCAATCTGTGATTCGACAACGTCTTCAAATAACACGATCAATAGAAACGTATGCATATCCTGGGATCATTTCTATTTGTGACCTATGTGTGGTCATGGATCGTCAGGGTATGACAATACGTCATTCTATTGTACACAGAACATTCTCATGAAGCAGGTCAGTCTGATAAGTTGTCTGCATGTTCACTGTGCTGATGGGGTAAAGGTGGGCACCTAACCACCCTCCAAGCTAGCGGAAGTTAATTATTGATGTTGGCATCAGGGTGTCTTCAATCGTTCCGTGTCGTCCCTGCACAGCTGACATCGTCCTTTGAAACCTCCACAAAGGTTCCAGGGATCTGTCGCAAAAGACGTGAACTCCGTGTTCGACGGCAAAGTGGCTTCATGTTGCCCATTGCATTGGGAGTTCCATGAAATCTCTTGAGCTTTTGCGACAAACCCACATCTTCTCATCTGAAAAATGTGAGTCACTCCTAGTGTCTGTACGAGCGACAGCCGGTGTTACTTCGCGGGTATCTGTGTTTCAGTGCAGTTGGAACTGGTTTATCACCCCGAAACCTTCTTCAGAGCCATCTGGATACAGCAACCAACATTGAACTACCATCCCCGCAAAAAAATAGCTGAAACTTGAACATCCGCTAGGTCAGACCCCGAAGGAACAGCTAAGACTTTGGATTCGGATCCTTGCAGAGAAAGCAAGAAAGGAGGCGCTCGCTGCCGGGTTCTGCAACACACATTGATACGGGTTCTTCTGGTTTTTAGGGTTCTTCATGATCATACATGCGTGTGAGTTGTTGCTGATTTCCTTGTTTCTGCGAATAGGGGCCCAAAACCAGGACAGGAAGATCTCTAGAAGCAATGACTGCAATTGAGGAGTTCAAAATCTGTCTTGTCAAAAGCCGCTTCCAATACACGCCCTAGGAAAGCATTAACTAAACTCATGAACACGGACAAAAAACCCGCCAACGAGCCCGAAGACCATCCACAAATCACCAAAACAAACGGATTCTGCAAAATAACATGCGCCACATGGACACTTGTTTGCCATATGGTGCCATATTCCTCGAGCAAATGTTGTTACCCACTTGTTTAACGGTTTAACATGGTTTAACTCTGTTCCGTCTTGTTACCAATCAGCTCACCAGCAGCCTGCGGAAAATTCAGCGAGGCAGTAAGCAAACGTGGGCGTCGACGAGAGTCTCAGTGATGTATGGGCAGCTCCCATCGCCCAGTCCGCAGCCGGCGTCGGACAGTGAGCCCAAGGACCAAGGTAAGGACCAGGGCGATAGCACAAAGCAAAGTCTTTTGTAGAGACCTTAGATCCACACTTGCTCATCAGGATGTCGTCACACACCAAGCTGGGAACGCATGACAAATCTATAGGGCCTGCAGTGTAAGTAAGAATATTCAATAGGCTAATTCAGGCTCGGCCAAGACGGCTCTCCACCTCTGGCCAAGTTGATCAGGCTTCAGCCCAGCCGGGCCGTGCTTTTATTCATGACTCGAAACCGCCCGCTGTCGCAACTGTCCACCGTGCCATCCAACCCGCCGTCGCAGTCCAAGGAGCAATCCCAAGAAGCAAGCTAACCAAAAAGCGAGGCCCAAGGAAAATACGGATGCGATGATCAGCCTCAGCTGGTCACAGGCCTCTTCCCCTTCGCATGCTTTCCCTTCGTAGGTGGGTTGCATCGATCTACATACGTTTATATTTTCTTGGTTTTACTGGTTCTCAGTTCTTTGAGAAATTAATTGAGCTTTAGGAGCTTGATACAACTCAAATGAAGTGATTTTGACTTTGCCCAGTGTCGAACTTGCGTACATCGCAAGCTTTGGTTTTTAGCCTTTCACATCACTCTGATTGTTGTACAGCTTTGTAGGTAATTAGGTATATGATATATGCAAACTGGTGGATGCAATGCATTCGAAGAGGATTTGGATCTCGTGAACATCGCCCAAGGACAGGAGTTGTGTTGATCCACGGGGTCTGCTTCCCATGGATTTGTGAGCCTCTCAACATCTGCCAGGGTCATGAAGAAGTTGCTTTGCTGGCTCACAGCACCTAGGTTTAAAAACAAAAAAAAAGTAGTTCCATCTTGGGGTGCTTTGGTTCATCTCATCCAGTGGATGTGACGGATGTGACCCTAGAAGTTTGGTACCCCGACATGGAAAAACTGAAAGGTAAGCAATGGTGTCTGGTTGTTTGATTGGAACTTTACTCAACTGCACAAATTGCCCTTGCTAATGCCGCGTTGTGTACTGTTTGTGCTTGACACAGGGCATGGTAAAACAATGTCAACATTCTTTGTTCCCCGGAAACGCATGGGAATTTGGTGATAATTGACAGTACACTTAGTTTTCTTGTTTTTTCAGGCCTTTTCCACCAAAATCTTCATCGATGGGATCGTAAACTACTCAACACTCTTCAAAACTAGAAAATTAAATTTGAGTAGAGCCCCCCCTCGATTAACTCCACCTAGCGGAGGGTACATCATGGTACATCCTAAAATATACCAACTGCGTCAGCTGTTCTACGTACTTCGACCCCCTCGGGCCCTCGTTCTGCCCAGCGACGTGGCCATGCGGTTCCGCTGCGCCAGCGCGATCATCCGGTCCAGCGACCGTCGGGCCTGGGTGAGCTCGCTGTCGATGGTGCGGACGTTGTCGCCTCAAACACTGCTCCATTTGGGATCCAAGTACCTTCTCAGGTGATTGGAGACACTGCTGTGTAGGTTTAGAATGCACAAACGGATTCCAAACGGGCGATGTCACGGATGCGATGTCGAACTCCATCGAACTCCCAAGATGTGGAGACATCGACTGCCGTGGCCGAGAAAAGGTGAGCGAGGGGTGATTTGAGGAAGGAACCAAACGTTTTGTGCTAATCATATATTATTATAAACTATTAGAACCAAAAGGTCAGGAAGGAAACAACTTATATACTATTATGTTTGATATGTCAAAAAGAGACAAAGGTTTGCACCATGCGCCGTCACTCCGTGCAACTTATAAATGATATAATAAGTGAAAAATAGTGAACACAGTTTTGAAGGATACTCTGCATCCAGGAATAACATAAGCCCCTGTTAGCTTGGTCCACCTCGCGGCTTGCCTTCCAAAAAAAATCCTAGCCCAGTTTGGAAAGTTTTGGACACAGCCCAGCCCCGCCCAATTGGTTTGGTCCACCTTTCTTGGGGCATACTTTTGACACCTAGTTACGTCCCTTCTTTCAATGCCTTTAGTTTCAAAACACCCTCATTTTATGGTCCTATATTGCCAATCTAAAACCCCTGTTCCAATTCAGATCCTAGTGCGACACCAACTGCCCAGGTGTGATCTGATGATGTCTTATCTTCAGTCCAGCATTCGGGAATCCTGCGTCTCTTCCAACGACTCTTCTTCCATATCTTCAGCCTCATCATTCTCACCGAAATCTCCTTCTCCACCACCTCTAATGCATTTCAATGCTTCCTGGTCCCATCTCTCATAAGATTCTCATTGCTCTTGACCTGGCTACAGATCACCCCATATCACCCAGAATGCCACAACCACTCCCAGAAAATGATTTCCCAAACAATGCTTTATACAGGTCTTTTTAACAACGTACCAAGCAAGTTATTATTCAAGTTCCCAAAGGGGGTCCCACTCCCTATATATTTGCTCCCCGGGTGTGGACATTTTCCACCGCCCAATAGACCCCGCACACCCCTCTATTGTCCTTTCCAATAAGTTCGTCCTAATCTTTCTCCTCCACCTTCCTAGATTCTCCTGAGCCTTCCTCATTGAGACTTCCACCACATAGGTCCTTGCCTTCATGTTCTCGTGCTTCTTTCCAATCCTCTTAGCTTCAGCCAGCTCATCCCAATCGAAACAGCCTGGTGCAGCTGCTTTCCTCATCCAGCTCATTTCCACCCAAATCCAACAGGCCCTGACGCCTCTCAGCTTCATCACAGGCATCCTTTTGCATGCACTTCCCCCTCCTCATCATTCCTCACTTGCTTCTCATGCTCATGCAATTCCTTACTGATGTGCTTCAATACTCTCCTTGACCGCCACAAAGTCTTCCCAACCAAAGATCCCATCATGAAGAACCACACATGACTCGTGGCACACCATGCTTTCTAGGGGTTCCTATAGGCTTTTGGCCTATAAGACTTTGTAAGACTGCCACACCAGCTATGAACCATGAATCTCCAAAGATCTCATGCGCAGCACTCTCACTCTGTCAAACCCTTTCCAAGTTTGAAGAAAGATTTGATCTTTGCGGATCCCTGCTCATGAATTTGCTTAATCTTTGGGATCCCTCCTCATGTAGAGATTTATATATAGTCTTCGAATGTCTTCGGGATCCCTCCTCATGAAGGGGTCTAGTCTTGGGGATCCCTCATCATGAAGAGATAATTTTTTGGGGCCTCTCCTCATGAAGAGATTTATTCTTGGGGATCCTTCCTCATGAAGAGATTTGGTCTTTGGGGCCTCTCCTCATGAAGAGATTTAGTCAGTCTTTGTGACCCCTGGGGGTGTTATTAATCCGGTATCAACGGTATTGACATTAACTTCTAACTTTGTAGAGTTCAAGAGAAAACATATCACCTCAGTGAATCACACATTGGTATGCTCTGTTGCTTCAGGATTGGAATCAACCCTAAGAATCTGGGCCCAAGAGACCGAACTTCTGACTCCATGTTTCTGTCCTGGAACCCAGGCCTGTTTGTGACCGAATCAACCAAATCAAGTTCGCTCACGTACTGAAGAACCAGGATGGAACGGATTTGGTTCAGGTCCAGACCAATGCGAACGTATCGGGTCCAATGATTCTTAGGGCAGGTGAAATTGGAATAAGTTGACCATCCGGAATGAGTTGGCCGTTTCGTTCGACGCAAAACTTCTTCTTGGGCTATGTAAAACTGAGTCACCGGCTTAGCCAACAGTATCTATAGTTCTGTAGGGTCTAAAATTATGAATCAAAGCAACCATCGTCTCGCTTGTCTTGTTCGCACTTGAAACCCAAAAGCATAGAGGGCTCTATCTTGGGCAAGAGCTGCTTTGGAAAATCGTTGGACCAAACTCCTTCACCAATATCACCTCCATAATTCCCCATAACCTCACAGAAAATTGGAGGACACACAAAACGGTAATTATATGTTATGTTGTATACATTGTTGTACAACCATGCACCACACCAATGTTCTATAACACCATGCACCACATATTCCCAAACATCCTCACACAAATGCATCACGAACGCATACGCACGGCCCATCAGGACTCCAAACGGCTCACTCGGCCCAGGCGCGCACGTGAAGGATGGTCTCCCTCTGTGCCTCGAGGTCCGCGAGAACGCCTTGGCCCACCTGGTCATCGGACCGCACGGTCCGCGCGTTCGCGCCTTACGGCATTGGACCACGAGAGCGAGAGCGAGAGCCGTTCCCGATGGATCCACCATTGTTTACATCAAAGCGTGTCCAATCACCTTTTCAGAGGGTATGTGGATCCATACGAATTGCAAGAAGCATCAAGAAGCTACTTGTAGATGAATCTAGCCCAAAATGACCCCTCTTGTGCTTGGAAAACGGCATGAACAGGCCATACAGGTAGGTGTTTGCCAGTCAAGTCTAGAGACATGTCAAGTTTGGGTCTCTAAGAAGTTGAGTTGCCCTGAAAGAATCGCTCTGTCCTCCACGTGGACTCCACGTGGAATTGGCCTTAAACAATGAGTGGATCCACGTGCGACGAAGGCTTACGACCCATCCTCTGTCGCATCACTATGACCACCTCAACGATCAGGCAGGTATACCAACCTTTAAACTAGGATGACAAGTAAAGGTTTCAAGTCTTCCTTACTATAGTCTGTTTGTGTCTGTGTCTGTGTGTTTGTGTAATGATAATATACGTGTCTTGATATTCCTCCAAAAATAAGGAACGATATCAAGACACCTATATATGTTATACAAGGCAACATTCGGAAGTGTCCATACATCCAGGACACGTTTTGTTCATTTCGTTGGCCCATTGAGTCAATCATGAGCAATAGATATAGATAGCAAGAACAAATCCACCAACATAGCCCAGAAACAGGACAAACCCTTTCGGTGCATGGCCGTTCCATCCCTGGTCGGATGGCTTCCCGTTCGTCATCACACGTCCGGCACAGAGATGGCTCCCGATCAGTCGGGCCATGGGGCGGCGATGGATCCACGGCCACCGAACCAGGTCGGTACGGTGAGCAGGGAACACGATGTAGGCGCCCAACAACGGTCGGGTCCGTCTTGGCTTCTGAGAAGGGTGGCAGAGTGGATCCGGTACATGGAGTGTCTGGGAATTATAGATGCCCGCCCCAGGTCTGGAGGCCTCACATCAACCACCCCTAATGACCCAATGTCATGTAGGTCCCATGGAGTGTCTAAGGATAGAACTTCCGAAGAAAAGCCTGTCTCGCTGTCTGCTATTCCGGAAGGTTGCCGGAAGATCAAAGGATCTTGCCGAAGCAGCCAAGCACGCTTATACAAATGGTGTACGCTAGCCTGATCCGCTCTGCACAAGCTCTTGAAAAGCAAATTCCCCGCCTTGCAGGATCTTTTTGGCATTTTTTGGCTGTGCTGTAGGGGGCAAATGCAAGTTTTTGCCCTCTTTTGGTCAAGTTGGGATGTAGCGTCTGCCCGGTGAGAGAGCCAAAAGAACTCGTCAACGACATAGGTCGTTGGTCTCCTTTCTCGAACCCGTGGGTGTGTATCACAATAGGGAGACCTCCCAGGCAACGACTGCCATTGAAGCCGGAAAATAGACCCTACCAGGCTAGGGGGGATCCACACACCTGAGCTTCTGGGCAGCTCGCTTCCTCCACGAAGCCCATCACAGTGCTCCTCCGCTGGAGACCCCTCTCACCCTGCTGGAGGAAGGCGGTAGCTCATCCGGTTCCGCAGCTCTTCAAATCAGGAAGAGTAACACATCGCCCTGGTTGCATTAGAGCGTCAACTCGTTGCATTCGGTAGAGGACACGTGCAAATGGTGAACGGAAAAACAAAGACAACTCAGAGAAACTCAGAGACTCAGAGCTCTCAAGTCAGCCATGCAAACATGCAATGCCAGGGATTTGTCTTGGGGACCTGCGAGTCGAGCGGACCCGAAACCGTACCTCGGAGATCCTCGGAAGCCCCGGGTCCGGAAGTCGTCCCGGCACCCTGTGACCAGGTTAGTTGTAGCCCATCAGTCCGAAAAATGAACAGGGAGAACTCCGGGTAGTTGTGTCAGTTGTGTTAGCAACGTTCTATTCATCCGCCAGCGGATCACGCTGAGGAGGCACCTGGTAACAAGCTCCACGTCTGAGCGTGAAGAACCGAGAAGAGGTGGCATACACTGGAATCACTGGAAACGAAAACAACGGCGAGCTTTGACTTCAAGCTCACGCAGTTTCCCAGGATTTCCCAGGTGTGAAATATACCAAAAGCCAGGAACCAGTGGAAAGGGACTGTGAAAAGAATCACACACAGAAAACAAACAGCAAAGACGCAGGGACTCCTTTCAGCCACCATCTCTTCTTCCACATCCCCCTGACCTTCGTGATCCCCAGATCCGTGCTATTCCATGCTGCTTTCCGTGCTCCTTTCATGGGACCACGCGCGCCAGCACGCATCGCACGGAACCCAGCCCCTGACTCCCAGGCCTCTTCGGTCTCTAAAGCTACTCGCTTGGCCTCCTTGAGTTTTTGACTGCTCCTGGGAGCGGGCTTTCGTGGCTTTCGCGCGACTCCACCTCCCGGGCTTTCGCGGTCCGAGTTGGGGCTTCCTCCGAAGAATGGGTTCAGAACAAAGGCAAAGTGACCTTCAACCCAGTTGGTCAGAACCTGGACCCTAGCCGTTGCGACCGCCGTCGCCCAGCTAGCTGGAATGGCGATGGAAGTCACTGCCGCCGGGATACGGCCGGGAGGTTGGGCGGCCATTGGAAAGAGGAGGTTAGGTTTTTCAGCGTGGTCTTCCACAACAATTTGTTGCAAGACCTTGCGGTAAAATGGATATGAAAAAAACATCATGTCCGGTCCAGTTTGCACTTGCCTAGGTTATCCTAGGTTCGCTAGGTTATTGAACACGCGATGAACCGCATGTTGAAGACCTGGGAAAGTGAGATCTCTTGAGGCCGAAGCAACCACCCTTGGTAGGGTCTGTTGAGGCCGAACCTTCCTCTCCATCAAATCTAGGATTATAGACTGGGAGGCATTTCATTGAGCATAGTTGGATTCTAATTGCAATACATAGACCTTTGTAGCTCAATCAAAATCCACAAACAGTAATTGTCAATCAGTTGGAATTAAGACGTGTTTACTTTTTGTTTTTCTTGTTCAACTTGTTTCAAATGAACTCTATGTCTCTATGTTGTAACTTTTTGCATGATAATGACAGTGTTCATATGTTCATATCATATTTGGTTCCTTTTGTTTGCCTGATGTTACAAACCTGCACCAGCACCTGTTCTATGTGAGATCCCAATTTCTTGAATGAACAGAACTTGGGAGCTGGGTTGGCCTCTTTGTCTGTGGGGAAGTTGGGACATACCTGAGACTAATTGCTAATTTCCAGAAACTAATTGCTAATATAGCAAGGCCAGATCAGGCTATGTGAAACTAATTGAAACCCATTGCAAAATTATTCAAGATTTGCAGAAACTAATAACTATTTGGGACAGAAGCTCAAAGGCTCCAAAATCAGAACCACTTGCCACACCTACTGACATGTTCACAACAGTGCGGGAACCCATGTAAACCACATGCCTCAACAACGTGTTGAGACTACAGGACTTCATCCCATCACACTGTATCCCTGCCTGTTCCAACTCTATGGTTTCTTCATACTCCCAGATGTCCCATCGAGCTGACACATGCATTCTGCATTTTCCTCGCGTTGTCTGACTGACTGGTTTTGTAGCTTGGCTTTGCCAAATTATATGGCCTAGCAGCCTAGCGTACCTAGCATATTGGCAACCTTTCAAGTTGCACCAAGAGGGGACCCCAGCTTTGTCCAAACTCCTGATTGGTTTTGTGCCATGGGATCCGGAAGCCGTTGACAGAGGTGAAGTGAGGTGGCAAGGTCATAGCTGGGGCTTTAGTCCTCTTGGTAAGACCCCCTCAAAATCACCCCAGTCCCCTTTGACTGGAAAACATGAAAAGAAGAAGCCAGGAGGCTATTTCTTGTTTTTTGGCAGCAGGTTCACTCTTGGCCTTTTCTCCTGGCCTTTTCTCACCCTTGGCAGCCTTGGATTTGCTTGCCTTGCCTCCCTCAGATTTGCTGGGCTTGCTTTCCTCAGGCTTCCTGTCTCCCTTCCTCAGGTAGGTCAGGTCCAGCAACAAACAAAGAACTAGACAAAAAAGAAAACCCTACTGTCAGTCAGTGAACCTTCTCAATTCCACCAAACCGTACCTGCATACTGCATACTGATACTTAAACAATGAAACTAAACTAAACAAGAAAGCTGAAGATGCAATTCAACAACTTAGAAACGTGGACAACTTCACCGATATCGCATCCAACTTTGTCTTCAGGAGGGGCTTAAGGTCTGGAGGGCTGATGCCGAACTTCTTGGCAATCCAACTGCAAACCTTCCGGTAGGCCTCAACAAATAAGCCTGGTTCTACATCCTTCTCGTTGATCACCAAGTCTGCGCACATCATGGTGGCCACAATCATCCCAGCTTCACTGGCAAAAGCCTTCAATGAAAGCAGGGAAACACATGTGACAATGATGGATCACGCCATGAAACGCATCTGCAATCAACACTGTAGTGTGGAACCCCGTACCAGTTATTAGAAGAACAACAAACAGAATTGGAGATCCATGGAGGTCTCGACCAATCAGCTGAAAGGTTTCACCTAGCTCTAAAAAAAGTCCTGAGAGAAACTCTCACATATCACGCACCTCAATCTTCTGCACCATGGAAGCCAAATTGTGCAGGGCTGAGTTCAGCTTCTCAAAGTGCTTGACAGCTGGCTTTCCCTGGTAGACTGTCTTGAAGGATGAAGCCTTGGACATCAACTCTTCACGCGCTTTCACCATGGCGTTTGTGTCATCATCGATCGCAGCCTCACCAGAGAACATCCAATTCACAGCCTCCATCTGCTCAGGCTGCCAAAACTCAACAGCACTGATGATTGGCCTCCCAGTGCACAAGGCTCAAGGGAGCTCTACTAATGTGAATTTGCCTGGGAAACAATGGCCAGGCTGTTTCCGTTTCACTTCAAATCTCCTCTGGCCAGAACTGACCAACAACTCTTGAACTTCCAAGCAGGGTTCACAAAAGCTACAGCCACAGCCTAAGAATAAACAAGGCTCAGACTCGACTCGAGCCTGTGACACACCACCGGTCACAAATGAGAGAGAAAACAAACACAAAAAGGACTTGGAAACTTTGAAATGAGTACAGTATGGCCTGTACTTTGTCGCCAAACGCTCAAGGTCCTTGAGTGTGCTGCCAGTGGAGTCCATTTCCACCTTCAAAATGTCACTGACGGTGTCGAGGTAGTTGGTGACAATGGAATGGTCCGAAGGGAGCAATTCTTGTAGGAGTGGCAAGTCAATGCGGGCGACAGTCATGAACGATCCCACATTCTTGACCAAAGTTGCCATGTCCTCCGGTGGAGTAGTTGCTGCCTTCCACAATCAATGCCACCATATTTGTCAGCAGGTCCTGGGTCAGAAAAAGCGAGGAGCCAGGTGCCAAGAGCAACTCGTTAAGGAGCGCAAGGGCTTTCGTCATGTTGTCCTTGTTCAAGAATGCCTTGACCTGAGCCAATCCAGTAGTCTGGACGATGTCTTCAAGCCTGGCAATTGCTGATCTGAGAGCAGATACCCAACCATGAGCGCCACCATCTGGAGTAGGTATTTGTTGAGTTTGCTTGCGAAGGTCATTGCAAAAGCGGGTTGCAGCTTGCAGTCCTGAGATCTCATTGGCTTGACTCATGACTTTTGCAAACTCCTGGAGCTTGCTGAGCACAATGACCAGTAAAGTGTAGAAACCAGAGTCAACCTTCAGAAAGGTTGCAAAGATCTCTCCTCGAAACTGTGTGTGTGTGTTTGGTGAAGTGATGCTTTTGTGGACTCTCAGTTTGGCAGTCTTCAACTTACACTCTGACTCAATGAATCTCGGAATTCTGAAACCTGGAATTTGGAATTAATCAGGGGGAAGGTAAAGCTTTAAGTAGGAATGCATGAATGAATGATGAGCCAGGAGCCAATTAATTTGATCCAGTCTGATTACTGAATGGTGAAATGCACAATCAGCGATCAAACTTGGAAACTCTGGTCCTCGTAGTGTCAAAGATCCTGCCAAGCTTGCAAGCTCATCCACACTCACCACCGATAAGCCAGAAGCACCACCATTTAGACTCGTGCTTGCCCATTGCTCATCCAACCACTTGTGGAAGTCATCTAGCTTCTGTGGACTTGCCTTGTCATCACAGCGTGCGCGGATCTCGGTCATCAAGGCGTTCATGGACATGTTGGCATCGTCCTCACTGTCAAGTGTGCTGCAAACATCCAGAAAGCTCTTGCAAGAGACAAGGATGTTCTTCATTTCCTCATTGAAGACAACCTCACCATCATCTTGCAGCATATCCCGAAGGGTAGATCCTTTCGTCAGGAGCTCTTTGGAGAGGGATTTGGCCTGTTCAGCAGAAAGGGCGGCTTTGGAGAGACTGATAGCATTGCTCCACATCTTCCTGGGGCCAACGATCAAAATCATGTGACCAGGACAAGGCAGGTTGCATCAAATCAATGTCACATTCACATCGAATTGGACGTTCAAATCAGCCTAGTTTCAGATACAGATGCAGGTTACAGGGCTAAAAAAGAATCCAAAAACCTGGGCAATTGAAGTGAGTGTCTTGAGGGCCATGTTGCTCCGGAAGACCAAGTTCAGTCTGGGCGAATACTTGTCTGAATCTGCCACTCGAAGCTTCATGTCATTCTTCTCAGACGGGGAGTAGCTATCAAAGCCCCTGGTCTCGGCATCAACGACCACCAAGCAACCAAAGAGCTTCTGGAGGTCGATGAGCACCCGGATGCAAAGACCAGTATTATTGTTCTGAAAAGAGTCTGCTTTGCAGGCCAAAAAGCCTTGATCATCCATTGGCTTTGGAATCCTGACTGGGGATTGCAACATAATACAATCAACCTGTAGCCACTACCAAAACAGGTCAAATAATAGTGAACGGGGCCAGTATGATTATGTCAATCCCACATGTTGACTCTAGTGACGTTAGGCGATGTCAAAGATTTGTGATGTGGTTCTTGGTTTCAAACATAAGTTGAGTGAAGCAAAGTCATCAAAATCGAATGCAAAGCATCATGAATCATGAACATCACTGGAAGCCACAGTCCTCAAAACGTCCAGAAGGCAAAGAGCATTTGGCAAGCTTGAAAGTACTGCTTTGGTGACATCCACTGGCAAAAGCCGCAACTTGTCAACCCAAGCATTGAACAGGTTGAGCTGCAAATGGACCAACGTTTCCTCATGCTTGAAGGTGTCTCTCCCAAGAAGCATACCGAAGCTGAACGTGGCTGAATTGGTTTCAGCTGCCTTTTGCAGTGAGATGAAGGAGAAGAAAGCTTTGCGCTGCACCACATCTACAGCCATGTTACTCGATGTAGACGCCTACACAAACAGGAGCAAAAAGTCCAACAACGCTCAGTAGCCCCTGGAAAGATGGTCAATGATTGATGGGATACCG